TTTTACCAAGGTCAATTTTGGGAAAGAAAAAAATCAGCTTCCATGCAGATCTGAACCCCAAGTCTTAGGAAACAGTGGGTGAGCATCTAGCAGTTGTGGCATCACAGCCCCCCAAGCAAAGTGCCGTTCAAGTATAAACAGTGCCAGAATTCTAAGTGCGAAGTGTCAAAACTACTGGCTGGAACAAATCACTTCACTTGTACTAAACAAACGCACTTAAAATTTTATTGACCAATCATCTGAGGACTGAAATGATGTAAACCAAATAACTAAAGACTGTTTTGTTTGAATGTCAACCAAAAATGAATTTAAAAGGCAAGATTAGCAAGCAGTACATGATTAAGTGCACACATGAAAGCAGCAACTACTCAAGATAGTGGATTCTTTTCTTCAAACACATCAGCTCTATTTATCAGAAAGAGGTTGCAGATTTGGAAAAAAAAAAAAAAAAGGCAAGCATTGAAAACACAAAGCCAAAAAAGTAATGGTATCTTGACCCCCCCCCCCCCCCCAAAAAGCCCATATAGTTTACACTAATTTGCATTCAGTAGTTGATGGCAATGGATAACTAACCTAAAACACTTAGCAAGGATTTGTAAAGGGAAGTGAGAGATTTACGCAGTATTTAATAAAGATTTAATGTTGTCTTAACATAATTTCTTTGTGTGAAATGTATGTTCAGCGTGGACTACTGCACAGTGCTACCAGACCTTGTCAAGAAGAGAGAAAAAAAAACAGGAGACAGATGGAGGGGAAGAGGGGTGATGGAAAGGCTGGTGCTGATCATCTGGCAAAAGTAAGGCAAAATACAAATTCTCAGTCACAAAATCCACCCACAATTTTTTCATGATGAAATCAATGGTCCTCAAAGACTGTTCAGTTTACTGTATAACAAGAAGCAGCATCTGTTGGTGCCACATTATGGCTGTTACTAAAAATACACTTAACTAGTTCTTAGAAACATGCAAGTCAAGGCCATTCACTCACTTTAAGGTGTCTTGTGAATTAAGAACAGAATCATACTTCTGGTGACTGCCGGAAAATAAAGTGATTGTGGCTCTTGCTTTATACAACTCTGGATCATGTACAACAAAGCTGTTGAGTGATGGGAGAAAAGTAAATAAAGAGGGAAACACCACCTGTTACATGCAACCAAGGCTAGGACTCAAACGGATCAAGACCTGTTTACACATCTCTGTGGTCATCCTAGAGACAGGTTCTCTGCCCAGGGCCCAGCTGGTGTAGATAGAATTACAATTTTATTCATAGCTAGAGCATATTGGCCTCAAAGTCTGCGCACAAAACAAGCCAGATCTGCAATAAGAATGTGCATGTAAAAATTCTCCTGGAACTAGACCAATGTTCAAACATGTATGAAACGCCCGGATGTTACCCCAGAAAGCCTACAGCTGGTGACTGCAAAGGGAAGAAAAAGGGTGTGAAAAAAATAAATGAATATATATGTGCGCGCACATAAGACCTGGTGAATTAGAAGACAAGCTGAGAAACACACTACTGCAGCAGAAATGTGGTTTCTAAGGAAACTGTCAAGAATAAAATCAATGATCAAATAAAAAAAAAATGGGTATTTCTCTTCGGGAAACAAAGATCTACAAACTGGACCTAGTCACACAAAAAATTTGGGTGTGATATTGACCACATAGTCCCATCAAATGTCAACTGGTCTAAAAATACTTGCACTACATACTCAACAAACTGTTTGTCCTAAAACAAAAGATAATCCGACTAAAGAAAAGAGTCGTAAACTTAGTGACAAATTACACAACAGCAAAAGGCAGACAAAGAGAAGACACCCTTAGATGGCATACTCAGGATACATACAGACATAATCTGAAACTATGCTGATCTATGAAGTGGCAAATCATGATCTGAGGTTTCAAAATCAAAATTACCAAGACTGAAAAAAAAAATTCTTGCCATTTATGGTGACTGACTACCACCATGTTTACTTTATTACTACCATAGTCCTGTCTATGAATTTACATCTATAATTTTCCCATGCTAGCACAATATTACATAAAATTAGTTTGAAAAGTAAAGTACCCTTTCCCACTTCTAGTACATCAGTACATTTTTGAAAACATCCCCTTCAGTGCAAATGTGAAACCTAGATCTAACCACTATGTTACTTTGCCTCACAACCATGTTAAGAAAGAAAAGACTGCATGCCAAAATCCTTTATTGTTTTACACCACTAATTCCCATTAATTAGTTTCCTGATACCAATTTCCATTTTCAAAACATCTAAAAATAAAAACAGGAGGACAATGCAAGAAGAAAGAGCTATGAGCCAATCCCAGTAAGTATAAGAGCAAAAGCAAACAATTTTACAGAATAATTTTAGGCTTGAAATATTTTATAACTCCTCTGCATGAGTGTTTTGTATTTACATTTAAATTATACTGATGACAAATGCTGTGTTAAAAACTGCTGATGCTGATGAAAGTATCAAGAACTGTATATTTCTAAAGCTATTTCCTTTTCAATTATGTATTCATTTAAATACAGTTGAATGCACTGTGTGAAAACATAGATATTACGCAAGTACACTTTACAGAGGGGTTCTATACAGAAAAGAAATATGACAACATGAACTATCTGAACAAAGAAAAACAAAGAACAAAAGCTTTACACAATTTACTGCTTGGCATATTTCGGTCTATCTTAGGTGTATTACAGTAATGAATAAGTAAGATGAAATAAATCCTTTTAACATTTGGGTGTGCTGGATTGTGTAAATCAGCTGAAAAGATTCATTTATTTTGGTTTTTACTTTTAGCCACTATAGTAGAGCAAGAACCTGCAGAGATCCAATGAAATAGACCAGGCAATGAATTATAAAATCTGTCTGCATGTTCTTTGCTCAAGTACAAACTTTCTGCCTTTGTCCTTAAAGCCCCATAATTAAAAGACAATATAATGTATTTCAAGAAGAGAAGAAAACAAGCGTTCCTGTTTATACAAATGAAACAGCAAACTAGTTATGGAGTATAAAGAAAAACAGACATAGCAGTTTTGAACTGAAATAATATTTGTGAAAACCAATTTCACCTCACATTTATACAAAAGAAATAACTAGCAATAATAGAACAAGTTAAAAGCGAACTGTAATAGAAGTAAAAACTGAAATACTTAAACAACTGCATTATAAAACCCTCATTTTAAGGACCAAGCCATAATAATAGCAGACATATACTGGTTCTTCCTTTAAAATGTCTGTAACAAAATGACCAATGATGCGATGAACTGTAAATACAAATAAGATTTCAGTTAAGGTTTATTAAGAAGTTTAGAATGATGTTTTATTTTAAACATACATGGTAACCTTAACATCACAGGCAATTTTCAGGAATGAAGCTTTCTGTGAATACTTGTTGGAACTGGCTGTGAGAACTGGTTCTCTGAAGCTTCATTCTATCTGCAACAAAATGACAAGGTTGCTGCAAGCACTAACCGTATAAAAGAAAAGCATCATCATATAGCAGGTTCTTTGCCTAACCTTGCTACAATCACAGCCTGCCTGTAAGTGATGCCATCCTCTACAGCTCTCCCATTTTCCTGCCCAAGGTGTTTTTCATGACCTGCATCCATCTTTGTGCTGGTCAGCCTATGCTCCTCTTGCCTGGTATCATGCTCTCTGCTAATGTTCTTTTCAATCCATAGTGATGTCACAGTCAGAGTATTTCAGTTGCTTAGACAAGATGCTGTTTGCAAGACAATTTATCTTGATTTTAATATCTTTTAGAAATCTTATATGTTGCTGCTTCTTGGTCCTGGTATTCTGATTACCCTTCAGAAGCCTATATAAAATATAAGCAGTTAAGTAAATATGTCTATTAAAAGTAAAGGTTGTTCTATTGATGACACATACAGGTGTGCTGGGAAATTATTAGGCAGACTGGCTGGCTGGCTCTGCACCACTTAGTAGTAAACCGATACATGTCAAGCTACATGTAGTAAGGACTATGTACCAAATTGCATAGGCACACACATATAATCCTCATGATCTGAGAAGACTGGTGTAGTGATAAGTGACTGGGAAACTGGCCAACACTGAATGGATGGGTGGATGGAGAAATCAGACTGTTACCAGTACCATTGGAATTGGAATTCTACTTGCTGCTGAGGATAAGTATGGAGCACTTATATGCCTGCTATGATGTCAATTCATAATTCATAGCTCCTACTTTGAAGTGTGTTGGCTATCTGGTGCTAAAGCCATATTATTTTCCCAGAATTTACACCACCCAATGTGTGAAATTATTAATATATAGCCAGCCACCTTCACCGCCTAAACATTTTCCTGTGTGGGTTGTGAGGGCCCTAATGGGAAAACGAATGGATATAATGCTTCACGACCATCACAGTTACTCTAACTCATCAACTGGTTCTCTCATGACCATCAGTTACTCTAACTCATCAACTGGTTCTCTCATGACCATCACAGTTACTCTAACTCAACTGGTTCTCTCATGACCATCACAGTTACTCCAACAACTGGTTCTCTCATGACCATCAGTTACTCTAACTCATCAACTGGTTCTCTCACGACCATCAGTTACTCTAACTCATCAACTGGTTCTCTCATGACCATCACAGTTACTCCAACAACTGGTTCTCTCATAACCATCAGTTACTCAAAATCAACTGGTTCTCTCATGACCATCAATTACTCAAAATCAACTGGTTCTCTCATGACCATCACAGTTACTCCAACAACTGGTTCTCTCATGACCATCAGTTACTCTAACTCATCAACTGGTTCTCTCATGACCATCAGTTACTCTAACTCATCAACTGGTTCTCTCATGACCATCAGTTACTCCAACAACTGGTTCTCTCATGACCATCAGTTACTCTAACTCATCAACTGGTTCTCTCATGACCATCACAGTTACTCCAACAACTGGTTCTCTCATGACCATCAGTTACTCAAAATCAACTGGTTCTCTCAGGACCATCAGTTACTCAAACTCACATTAGCGCCAATCGCGGTAGCTGCTCCTTCGGGTATCTCGGCTGTCGCGGGCATCTCGACCGTCGCGGCCATCTCGGCTGTCGCGTGCATCTCGACCGTCGCGGGCATCTCGGCTGTCTCTGGTGTCACGGTAACTGGGGCGATCATCATAGTCACTGTCATCTCTATAGTGCCTGTCCTGCCTGTCCCTATCGTAATCTCGACTGCTCCTGTAATTATAACACACCATAAGAAAATACATGAACCTGCTTCTGTGAGGTTTAAGTTTTGATACAAAAGCTCATAATGTGAATAGGTTAAAAAAAAATATTTTAAAAACTATAATAGTATATTTTAATCCATAGTAATAAATATCTGAGGAATCTTTTCTTCTTTCTCACTTCCTGCTTCTTGCTCTTCTGGCTGCCTTGTCCATAGGCACACTGTGCCGTTGTAGAGTTTTTCTGATGTTATCTTTACATCTTAACTATGATCGACATCTTCCTCCTCTTTTAGTGTTTACCGTGTATGGTACGGCCTGACAAGGTATTCTAAGTGGGCAAACCCTTTGATTTACTGTCTTTATATGTAATTCTTTCTTTAATGACCTCATTCTGATTTTTATTTCTTTTGGTCACCTTTGCAGCCTTGCTCAGACATCTCATTTCCGTGGTTACAATTTTTTTATTGTTTGTCTGAGTGACCACCTGGCACAGACTAAAAAACTAAAAACTGCACCCTTGAACTGAAGGGCCCAGCCGTGAAATGAACCCACAACCTTCAGACTGCGATACAAACGGCTTGAACACTTTGCCATGAATAATCTTTGTTTCATGTGAGGTGAAAACATATGATGCATGATGCCTTGCAGAAATTACAAGAATCGTCAAGGCAAAGGTGAATTTAGCGCTATGGAAAACAAATACCAATAGAAGATGTCAAGTGCAGTAAGTGCTAAAATGTTAAAGTGCTGTGTAGAAACTGAGCAGAGACGTGGTTTTCTAAGAAGGAAAGAATATCCAGATGTTATGGAAAAACAAACAAAGCCGTCTTTATCGAAACTGAAAAAGGTCATACATGATAAGAATCAGACACAGGCAGTCAATGTTGAGAAGGAATGGACTTGAGAACTTGGTAACCACTGTCAACAAGACTGATAGAAAGAGGAAAGCAAAGAGATAAATACATGGATGGCTGAGCCTCATTATGGGGCAAAATAAGAACATACCTGATCCATGTTCCTGGTGATCATGTGAGATTGTGAAAAATAGAAGCATATTCCTACAAGCAAAGCACATGATAATCATGCTTAGTGTCAATCTGCACATCGTGGGCACTCCCCACCATCTAAGGTGGCTTCCATTAATGCAAAGCTTTTACAAGATGCTTTGTTCCTGGGCTCACCCAAGGAATTGTCACAACCTGCACACGACTGATTAACCTCACATCCGTACACTGAACCTCCCACTTGTCATGGGCTGTACCCTATGGAGATCCATCAGGGAGCAATCCGCATGTCCAGATGTTTAAACGACCATACAATTGGGCACTCTCTCCTTCAGCATACTAGACACATTTAACACTGTTTTATCTGAAACTTAGCATGACAGTAAAGAAATAGCACACTTCAGGCATGGATTCTACATGAGCTGGGGGTGGGCTAATAAAAGCCATTGGATATCTGGACACTGCCACCAACTCTGAGATCCTCTTCCAGCTCAGTTTAGACCCATATGAGCCCATTATTGGTAGCTCATGATGAAGACGTGTGACAAGGAGTCTTGCGTGGGGGTTCGTGAAGCCAACAGTCTGCTGATGCCCAAGGTGAGGAATATTTAGTATCTCCTTATATTACAACGGCCTTAAAACCTATGACAGAAATCACCACACCACTAAATCCAGCATGACCATAATTAGTGTAACGCCTTCTGATTTTGTTCATGCCTGCATATAATCTAGGAGGTTCGGATATTAATATATATACTCAAAATAAAATTGGAGGAAGTCAAAAAAAAGGTGGAGAGGAGACAACTTTTTTTTAAAGCCATGCTGACATTATATTTTTTCCTAGCCCCAGTAAAAGGGGACATGGATTCATGGCATGAGTTACCCAATGAATGCTGCATTTCACTTGATGTTCACGTCATGGGACAAAAAAAAAAAAAAGTTACATTAAATATAAACTGACGTCTAGTGCATTCCTTGGTACCAAAAGAGTTAGGATGCTAGAACGTATGTGTTGGGTTTTTCTTCCAATGTTCCACAACTCAGTAGCTGAAACTATACCCTTTCAGTCTACTTATGAGGGGTAAATGCAATGGCAAACATTTGACAGGAGCAAAAATTTGCCGCGAGTAAAACTATAAGCCTGCATAACCGCCATATTCTGAGGACATGCATCGCCAACACAGCCTCCACATAGAACTAGCAACAATATGTGATAATAACATATAAAGCCCAATTTACCTTCTTCCTAGGTACCTTCCTGGGGTGGGTGAATGAGGGCGTACGGTAAACGAATAGTCCACTCTAATTGGTCGTCTGTCCAGAACAAGTCCTTGTGTATTTCTTCTGGCCTGTAAATAGAAATAGTGCTTGCAGATTACTGTGTCAGTTAAAAAAAAAACATTAAGGACAAACAGCTGCCACATACCCATGGATCTTTCATCTGTAGGCACTCTAGAAAACAAAACAATGCATGAACCGAGGGCAACTGCGTTTTTTTTTTAAAAGCTGCTATCGAATGTGCTTGCAACAATTACTTTTCTACAAGTTATGAATAACAAAACATGAGCAGCCCCAAACAAAACTTAACTGATGTTGGTAGGTGTGAATAAAAATGTTTCCAGGCAAAGGGCAATGTTTTTCAATCAGCACCTATTCAAATTTGTGGGAAAGGAAAGTTTGCGATCCACTGCTTGGTGGGTAGCAATAGCTATTACCATTCCATGCCGATGTAAAAGGTTTTTAATGTCACCAATCCATATTCCCCAAGTTCGCCCTTTTGCTGACACATCAGATCTTTTCATGTGTAGCACCTGTGTTAGTTGTAGCTGCATTTTACTGAGATGACAAAACCATCTGATCTTGGTTCTCGAATTTAGTGATGGTTTTGTTCCCAGTCTGACAGTATAATGTCTCACTGCCTTGGATGGCTGAGTTGGCAGCTTTTCATAGGCATCACATTTTACAGGTGTTACTATTATGTACATTAGCCTTTTACAATGTCCAAGTTTTTTTTTTAATAATGTTTTTTTGGCTGTCATTTGTATTTTTGGATGACTTAATAACAGCGCCAGTTTGGTATACAAGTGCACTGGCTAGTTAGCATCTTGCTTTTATATAATCAGTCAAATAACACAGTGGTCAGATGGAAGTGCTGGGCTCTCACCTCTTGTCCCAACTAAATACACTCAATTGGAGCATTCTGAATCTAACACCAAATTCTATTAAAAAGTCTAAACTCTCCCACAGAATAAAATAGTATACTTAATTACGAACAAGGGTAACACATGACCGCTCTGCCTCACAGACCATGAGGCACTGAGTTGGACACAGGTTCATGGTCAGTGGCCAGTCACATTTGGGTCTCACAAAACCTGTGAAGACGGCTGTTTTCAGTGAATCTCTAGAAACACCCGTCTCACACAACTCCTAAGTAACGTGAACCATTCGCACTTATCTCTGTCATCATCTAGCGCTTCAATGACTGGCGGAGGCGATCATGCTTCTTACCTGGTTTACAATTAAATAGTAAAGTGAGTTCAGCACACAAAACCTGTTCAAACTGTCTTGCAGTCACGAATAATAGTAAAGAATAATGAAAATGATTATCAACGGACACATCCTAAATCTGTCTGAAATTACTTTAAATCAAAAGTATCTGCTCTTGATTTTTTCATCAAGTTTGAGGGTTGAGTGATATTTTTTAGGAGTATGAACACTGAAGATTCGTGTAGTTCTTGTAACAAAAAGCAGGATACAAATGAATTGTTCTCGACTGAAGTTTAAGAAAAACAGCCAATGTTTTAATTTAATGATATTCCAAATCTGATTTCACAGACAAACAAAATGACAAACCTCAACAGCATCTGATGTAGACTTGAAGTACACAAATCCATATCCCTTAGATTGGCCAGTCTGTTGACAAAGAGCAGGTACATTCAGAAAGTCTAGACATAATATGAAACCAGAAAAAAACATCTCATTAGATCAATCCAATGCTCAGCTATGCTGAAATGATCAACTGCACTTACATCTTCTATTAAACAAATTACTGAGCAGTAAAATCACACTATTCAAATGTGAAGATGAAAGAAAATAGGAAGAGACAAGAATATGCATGTTTGTAAGGCCTACAGTTGCTTAGAGAAAATGTTGCCTGAGCTACTGAGTTTAGCGCTTGGTGCAGCTATGTGAACTGTGTTTTTTCCTGTGGAATGCTTTTTTTGTGTGCACCAGCTGTGTCGTGGTATTCAATATGGCCGGTGGCTGGTTTGCATGTGAGCAGGTGAAATACCTTATGCAATAATCCTACATGTGTTTAGTAGCCGACATATCATGCCCGACTACTTCCATCAATGATAAACTGCATTTCTGGTGGTGACTGTTTGCTCTGACAACTGAAAATTGCATTTACTGTGTGCGGATACTTCTGGATTGTTCACCAGTTTTTTTTTTTTTTATGTGACAGGGAGATAGTATTGTATTTGCACAGGAATGAAGCAAGTACGGAAAAACCCCGCAGAATTTGAAACCTCCACTAAGACAAAATAGGTATGCAGACAAACTGATTATTATTGAAATAATAACAAGCTTACCTGTCTGTCATAGATGATACAAATGTCATCAATGTCTCCATACTGAGAAAACACATCTCTCAGATCCTTCTCTTGCGTGTAGCTGCTTAATCCAAACACACCCAGACAGTGACAAACATCTGGCTCCTCCTAGACAAAATCAAATTAGGTTTATTACAGTTATAATCCGTTGAATCAATCAATCAGCACGTCCTTCACAAAACGTCGCTCTCTTCACAACAGGCCTAAAATTCTCTCTTTCCCTAGCCAGTTCTTCAGCACAGTGTGCTTGCATAGCCAATGCATCTTCCATGCTCTTTATCCATCTTCATGAAGGTCGGCCTCATTTTCCTAAACTGCACCCTTCATCGCTGTTCTCCCCAGACCACCGAGGCACTTGACATGTCCAACACACTTCAGCTTTCTAATCCATGTGTTAAAGATAAATAAACCTGCAATGGTTTTAGGCTGCTCCAGGTGTATAAAAAGGGAAAAAAATTCTTTGAGTCAGGAAACCTGAGCAGTGTATATTTTTTTCAGAGAATTATTTGCAACCAGTTCCTAATTCCCACTTGAATGCAAGTAATTTATTCTTTCCAACTGTCACTTAAAACAAAAAGCACTCAAAAATCAGAATAATCATCTTCTCCAAGTGTCTGGTCTGGAGTAGACATCAGTGGTCATGATTCTCTGCATTCAGAGATTCTGATGAAGTTTGGTAAACTTTTAACAATTCTGCAATATTTTTTCTTTTACATAATAAGTACAAAAAGGTTTATTTGATTAAATAAAGATGTGACATTTTATACTATGAAACTAAAACTGACCCTTCTGTGCTATAGCTAACTTCCCCCCCCCCCCCCCCCCATTGCTGGGAGATAAATTTCCTTAATCCATTTGTTTCTGATTTCAGTGTCTGTTTGATGACTCTCTGCTCACTTCTTAGGTTTAGGTTTTGCCTTATACAGCACCATCTTCGAATCAAGTATTAGTGATGTTGTGTGGACAGTTCTTTCTAGGTTTCATTTGTCAAGTGTGGAATCTACAAGCTGTTACAATATATACTATCTCACCTTATCTTTAGAGTCTCTTTCTTTATGGCTGGCAACAGGGCTGTAACTTCTCGATCTCTCTTCTCTTCTTCTGTCTGACTTGTGGCTTGAAAAGAGGAAAAGCACTGATGCTTAAGTTATTTACCCAGGATAACAAAAATAGATTTCAAGACTACAATGTGCACTAACATTATATCATTTACAAGCCAACACTGAAACCATAACTATGTGGAATACAAGAACAACCACCCCTAATGCACTGAATACAAGGAGAACTCACAGCACTAACACCTCAAATTCAAGGACAACACAAAGCCTGAAGTTATGAACATATGAATTAAGCTTATGTCTGTAAGATAATGTGAAGACAGAAGAGACAGCTGACATTATTTGACCACATTGTGACAAAAGTAAAACTGGAACATACTGCATGACAAGAGAGGACTCTCTGGGTTGTTTTGCTCACGAAAAGCGTACGAAAGAAAACAGCACAAGAGAGCCTCAAAACCAATAAATGTCTATGCAATATGATGATGAGATTATAAATGGTCACTTTTCTAATTTTCAAAACTTTCCATATTTCTTTTTTCAATAAACATATAACTTTATTTTTTAATTGTCATTTGGTGCGATACAGAATTATAAAAAAGAAATAAGCTATATTAAAAAAATTTACACTTTACCCTTTTAATAGTTTATCCTACTATATATTGAGATGAAATCATGAATGCACATTATAACATTTCTCTTCACCTTCTCCTTGTCCTGTGCTTTTCGGATGGACTTTTTGATCGTGAGGAGCCCTTACTGGAACTTCTTGAGCTGTTTTCCTTCCGCCTGCTCCCTGAGCTGTAAAAACAGTTGCGAACATGTCCACAATATTTAATAAACAAATTAAACTAGAATCAGCTAGAAGAAGAACTTTATGGGAGAAATGCCGTCTTATTTTATGCAACTGTATATTTGTTACGCAATTACAATATTTTTGTTACGAGGTTTAGATTGAAATTCCAAAAAACTCATTAGGGAAAAAAATAACTGCTTTCTTTATATCTCTGCTCAAGTTACAAGCCATAAGCATAATATAAGGCAGCACAAAAATAAGAAAAAAAAATGAAATTTTTGGACAGTTTACCTTCTCTCCGGAGAATGCCTCCTCTTGTATCCCCTTCTGTCATCATGTGGGGACCTGGACCTTGATCTAGATCTTGATCGCTTGGGAGACTTGAAAACAGAAGTTTACAAAAATAAATTATGTTCCCGTAAAAATGCTTCATATATGTTATAATTTTAATGCTTCTGCACTCCCCTACGTGGGTCGTGGACCCCAAATTAGAGAAGAAAATGATACAATAGGCTATGTCTCAAAAGATACCTAATTAGGGGTGTTTCCTTCAGAGTTGGCATGTGTCTGCCAGAGAGGCAAGAGGGGAACAAGTGTGCATACAAATAAGCCAGAACTGTAAAATAGATGTGCATGCAAAACTCAAATTCTGGAATAATTCTAAAGTTCAGAACTAGACAAACAACCAAAACTTCCTGCTGAAGTTTACAGCCTGTGAACACTAAGAGGAAGAAGATCCTGCCCATTATCACATTCAGAGCCTACTAAAAGTAGATACCTGTTCACTGTTACTGACTGCTTCTCAGAGTTGTTACTCTTATCATCACTGTCTCTCTCAAAATTATACTTCTATGTGCAAAAATTTTTGTCAAACAATATTTGATTAAAGAGCTGTGCACCCATTTATAACCATCAAGACAAAACCAGAGGCACTCCTCTTCTGTGACAAAATGCATAAATTGTGCTAATTTGTTAGAGACTAGTAGTATTACTTATTTTACAGCATTTTATTACTTCAATGCAATTATGAAACCATATCATGGTGAAAGTGATGACCGTGTCACAGCAAGCCATGCAGAAAACCCATGCAAGAGAAGACGGCGCGGGATACTCATGTGTAGACAGAAGAATGAGAAAAGACCCAGGGTTGGCTCTTGGTCAGTTGCGTATCAGAGACAGAGGAAGAGACAGTTGTGATGTAGTCGACGTTTAACTGAAGTATCTTAAAGGTTGTGTAAGGGACTAATGTGGGATTACTGTGGAAGTTAGCAGTGATGACTGTGATTAAATAAACGGTAATTCAATAAAGTTTAAGAACAGGGATGAATAAAAACTGGCAAATAGTACATCAGAACCTGAGTGCCATTCTGTGTTGTTGATTGTAGATAGTTGGGTGAACTCAACACACTAAGACTGTAAGATGGTGAATTTATGTGCTAAACATAACAGACTAGGACCTTGAAATAGTAAATTAATGCAACTAACATACAAGACTTCTAATACTGTGCAACAGATCTGCTGAACTTTAGAGATTAACCAAACAAACAATCAGTGGATATAACAACTATTTAGGATAAAAACTTTTCAGCGTCAGCAGATCAGCAATCGTAGTTAGTATAGTTAAGAGGAGTGAAAGGAAATATATTAGCATAAATGATGTGTGAATGATTTTTGTGCATATTATTTTAACATAATCCATACCGTAAACTGACTCCAAGTACTGCTTTCAGTAGTGTAAGAGATTCGACAGGAAACAGAACATTAAACAAATTGGAAAAGAGTGGGGGGAAAAATACACCAACATAAATGAAAACATCTGGATAACCAGAAGATCTTAAAATAGGAAGTACAGATACATATTTTTTCCATAGGGATTGCTCAAAGGGACCAAAATCATGGTAGAATTTCAAGGAATAATTTTCTTTCCCCAGGAACTACAGGAAAGAGCAATATAGTGTAGGTATAAATATTCTCCCCACAGGAATAACTTTAAGTAACTGAATTTATTGAAATATATAAACTGTTTGGCTATCCTCCGAAAAACTGTCCCAAATTATCTAGGTAAAAAATATACCCTAACAGTGCCTCAGTCACATGCAAATTGCCGACCTCTTTCCAGCAACTACACAGCTTCCGCCGAGAGTGTCTCTCGCGCAGCAGCTACCGCATCTCCTGCAGCTTCCTTCATTTCATTTACTCATCGTGAGTCCTAGCCATCTAGTTTAGCTTAGCCCCGCTCCACGCCGCACGTAGTGGCGTGGGAGATACTCACAGGTAAATTGCGGACCTATTTCTGGCGACTATACTGCCACCGCCAAGAGTATCTCCCGCGCCACTACGTACGGAATGGGGCTAAACTAGATGGCTGGGACTTACGAGCAAATAAAATTACGGAAGCTGCAGAAGATGCGGTAGTTCACAATTACCTAAGCTGGGTTACAGAATAAATTGCATTGTTCATTGTTATGTAAGTTAAAGTTTAATAATCATATATTATACACCAATGTCTCTTTTTAATGTTTGTAATTTATGTTTTGTGTTCTCCTTTAAATAACAGTCGCTAGTTGGACGTCGACGGCCGCTTAGTCGGAGTTCACTGCCCTGGCTGCAGTGCAATTACGGAGTGGACAAGTCACGGATCAAAAAATAAGGTGAGGTCGACATGGCTGCTAGAACTAGACCACCCGGTGCGACTGACATTAGCGACCGCGTTCTTGCGATGCAAGACTCTCGTAGACCACGCGCTGCGACTCAAATTAGCGATCGCGTTCTTCCGACGCAAGATTTAGTGACCGTAGATGTGAGACCTGCGGATCTGTATATCGCAATCAGCTATAAGCTTGCGTGGTTTCTGTGATGTGTTACCCTAACCCTACCCCTAACCTTAAACCTACTCCAAAACCCAACCCTACCCCAACCAAACCCCTAAACCTAGGATGATAGGTAACTATCTCATTTGTTTCGTTCCCTCTTTTCCACTCCGTAATTGCACTGCAGCCAGGGGACTTAACTCCGACTAAGCGGCCGTCGCCTTCAAGCTAGCGATCGTTATTTAAAGTTAAAGGAGAGCCATGTTTTAGCTACTACGGTGTTCGGCGATTTGCGGTCTTTTCGTGAATTTCCGTTACCCGGTAACAGTTCAAAACTTGTTTGGGAAATGTCGGCTGGTTTCGGGATGGGTCCTAATCTCTTATGAAATTTTGCGATTGGTGTGATTTTGACCAGCTATAAATAGCTGAAAATGGCGGGAACGAACCCGATTAACAGCACATGTCTACGACAGCCTGACGTGCTCTGTTTTTCTGTTACATCAGTTTGATTAAAAATAGCGGTAAGTATTAAAGGTTGGCTTTAGGCTTTAACATTACTTGACATGGTAATGCTAGTTATAATGAATTCTCCGTCTAATTTTACATTTGTATATAAAATTTATTTCTTATGTATGGCTTAGTCGATTTACAGTAGACATTTTTTTAGGCAATCGCTATTACGGCTGTGTCTAAAAAATAATGTTTGCCATCTTGTCTTGTGACTTATTGACCTTTAAACCATAACAGTTCTTAAATAATTCCTGTTTCTGGAACGCGAGTTTTAACAGCTGTTTGTTTACATCTCATTTCCACAAAAACCTAGATATCTCGGCTTAGAATTGACATACAAGCATAAATTAGGTGCCGTTGGAAAGAGATTGTTTACAGGAGTAACTGTGCTGGTTTTATTGGTATAAGTATAAGTATAGGAGCATTTTGAAAATTTGACCAAATTACCTACTTTACTTGTATACACGAGACATAAAAGAACAGATCTAAATCATAAACGTACAACTGTAAGTGTAAGTAAGTTGGTTTAACCGATCCAGCGCAAACCAAACAACTTTCTTTCCGAGTCAGTCATGGATATGAGAAAAAATAGCGTAGCTCACTAGCTGTTGTAGCTATTTTTAAACTCAAACGAAACTATTCTGTGTTGATTTTAATATACAAATTAAATAAACAATTAGATTAGCCCAAGTTATCATAAGATGCCTGATGTGAATTTCGTGTGGAAAGTTCGTTACAACAATCAAGATAAAGAAACTAAAAAAAAAAAATACAAACAAGGGTCAAAAACAAAAGTATGCGGCATGCGGATGCGCAAACAAGTCTCAAACTGCTTCAATTTTCAACGCTCAACGTCAGATTATCAAACAGTGAACATTCACATTTTTGAACTTACCATACTGTATTTGATAACGTCTAGCTTTAACACTGTGAAAGATTAAACAACTCGCACAATGGCAAACAAAACTGACTTTGCGGACGCCACAAAGGAGTCAATTTGTAGACACAAACGATATGAGGCTTGTTCGAAATGGTCGCCGGAAGTTGGTGGTTACAAGTGGATCTGGCTTGCAAGCTAACATTCAAAATACGGAGTCTGTTCCTCTCATAATAGCAAGAAAGTTTCTTTTCTTTTTTTAAATAAATATAAAAGCTTGACAGGGGAATACATTGCATACGTCCAAGTGGCACGTACACAGTATTAGATTCAAAACTCATGAGTAAAATCAATAAACACTAAACTAATAAGGTAATAAGGCTGCAGTGAAATCCAGGCGTCATAGATCAGGCTGATTATAGAATGCTCTACGAATCCTCGACGTTTGCGTGAACCAGTTGGGAAATGTGAATCTGCAACCATGGTCAGACTGCAAGAACAGAAAAATGCATATGGCGACAGAGCTGGCGAAAGACAGACCACTATAAGAGCGAATTTCTGCAAGGATCTGCTGCATGATGAATCACATAGATGAATGGAGTAGGGTGGTATCACCGCCGTCTCCAGCTTGAAATCTTCTGACTAAGGTCTCTGGTGGTATGTACAACAATAAACCTCACATACTCGGAATGTTGAGAAGAAGAAGAAAAAGAAGAAGAAGAAAAAAAAAGAAGAAGAAGAAGCTAAACTTCATAAAACAAAAAATATATATTACTATAACACCCATCCCCCTTTCCCATCTTCCTCTTTTCACCGAAAATATCAGTAAACAATAATGTATGCTGGACATATGTTGTAGCAGAAAGAATAAATATATTTATATACTAAAATGTGAAACATGGTTATGGATGAAAATACACAGCGATTGTACTTTACAACTACAGACCGAACTATGATGTAACACGGGCAGTCCAGGATTGAATGCTTACCTTTGTAGGTAATTATGCCAGGGACATCGTGCTTCTCGCGTCTTCCTCTTCTTCTTTTGTCGTCACACTGTTAACGGTTGTAGCGCAGTGTCGTTATTTTCTTTATTTGTCTTGCACATTTTAGGTGGCTTGGGTGATGGATTTCTTTATTGTTATTAATATTGCAGGATTCAGTTACACCGTCTAACCACATCTTTCTTGGTCTTCCGCCCACCTTCCGACCAGATTTGTTCTGGCTGTAGTTTTACTAGCTGGCTAAACCACGTCTTTTTCTGCCTCTCAGTGTAATTCAAGAACCCTATTTTTCCAACCTTCTCTCTAATGCTGGTCTCGCGACCCTGTCCCTTCTTGAACACTGCGTCTTACTACTTTAATTCATTCAGTACCTAGCAACTCACTATGCGTTTTTTCCTAGTTCTTTTGCATTAAACATCACTCCTAACACATCACGCCGCACCTGGTTGTTACACTAACACACACTCATTCTTTGTGTTTACCGGCTTTGACTTCCTACGGAGAGTCCTGGTTGTTCGTCCTTTTGGTTTGGTACCAGGACCTGAGTATATCCGTTTGACATGCATTGTGATGAGCAGTTCTGGTTCCCTACCTCTCAGGCTGAAGGATTCCGACTTCGAGGAAAAGATAATCCACACTGAATCGAATGTCACTTTAAAAATGCAGTCTCTCTCATTGGGTTATTAACTTTTCTGACTTCAGTACTAATTACTTAAAGTAAAAACTATCCAAGAATAAATGAAATTGTGGAGGCCTGGTGCTGATATAGCAAGCAGGCAAATTATACAGTAGCAGAAAGGCAACAAGTGCGAGACTTAGTTGTATGTCATATCCCCCCCCCCCCCCCCCCGCCCCGGCACCACGAGCTCTTACCAAACAAAAACAACAACAAAAATCATTTCAACAGTGTCTGGCGGCTAAAATTCCATTTACGATACATCGATTTAAATACGTAGCTGTAAAGAAGGATTTTCAAAAAGGAACTGACACCGTTGGAATAAGGTACTTACATATTTACTAATAAACTATATGGCCTCTGCAAGGGCAATTCCCTGTCGGTTTTCTCCGCTGCTGTCATATTCTCTGCTTCTCGCGTTGAAATCCCCGCATATGAGTAACCTATCACCTGGTAACTCCTCCAATTCCTTGAGCCAGCCCCATTGTTCCCTTCTGACAAAACAGTCTACCGTGGCATATATAGTTATGAGGTTCCAACTTAAGTCATCAATCTCCACCTGTATCCCTCGAACCTCTATTCCTCTGTGGTTATACTGGCCCAAGTCAAGCACCATATGCTTCACTCCTTCCTTCACCACCAGACATTGTCCATGTCTTTCCTGTCCAACAGGATTTCTATAACCGACATACCCAGGGCTAATAAACTACATACATTTAGAAAGTGGTATCTCCCAGATAAAGAAAATAAATGTTTAAGACATTATCACCGTAGAGCTCTAAGCATGCCGGGACAAGCGATGTGAACGCTAGACATCAGTTGGCTGCCAGCCTATGCTGTCACTGCCTTCTCTCTTCTGGAGCTGGCCGTGGCTAAGTCGACGGGTAAAGTACCAGTTTTATTTATTTCTACCGGCACTTTCAGTTAGACATTCTGGGCTGCGTATTCTCGCCTTTCTTTCGAAAAAAAAAAAACCCAGTAAAAAAAAAAACAGAAGTAAACTGGCTTCACCTCATTGTGTTAATTGGATGGCACGAAAGACACACAGCACATGTATATTACGGCATTGTCAGAAGTGACACTGAAAACGTATGTCTAATGGGAAAATATATGAAATATATCAAGCTAGGAAACGAAGGCTGCCTGTTTCCAAAGCCCGTTTCAGGCTGTTGTCGGGGGTTCTAATTTAGCTTAACGATTGAACGGGGCTTCTGTGACTTGGATGATTCTCAACCGAATGGTGGCACTTTGTGTCACCCGGTGTTTATCGCTCGTTGTGCGGTCCTTGTGGGGTTGTCTACCAGGATATATTTCTTTGTTTGTAATCAAATTTGCTTCATTGGATGTAACTTCGGAGCTGTGTTTTTGGCTTTTTTTAAAGGCGTAAAACAAGTATCGCATGGCTGGGTAAATTTTGAAAGTCGAAACTTGATGGCAATTAAGCTACCAATAACCGTGACCTTTTACTGTCGGGGGTTTCGCAATAACAAAGTGGTGGTGTCTATCCTGTAGGACAGAGCTTTCGAAGTCTTTTATGCTGGTAACAGCTCTTAGGGTAAACATAACTTCTCGACACAGTAATACAGTCAGCACTCGTGCCTCTCTTATATGGGTTTAGTTTAACCTCTAGTTTACTAATAGACTGAATGGCACTCTTCCGAATACCGGCCGGGATGTTTCAACAGTGAATAATTTGGGCCCGTTATTCGGAAGAGTGCCGTATTTTTCGTGTAAATTGTAACGTCACTGTAATTGCTTGTCTAATGCTTTTTACATCATTGTTTTAGAACCAACTTTTAAGCGTGTACCATTTTAAATATTAGTATTTGTAGCGTCCATTGATAACCTTAGTTCCTACCCCTTATAATTTTGCATTTCTCCACTTACTCAGTGGAAGTTAGGCTATAGGTTGATCACTGCTAATCATTGGCTTAAATTTACCTTTTACATGATTGCGACCTCGGTCATTTAAATAATTATGGTGAGGTGAATTATCAAGATGACCACGACCGTTTTTATTTTGGAGTTCTATTTAGCTCCGTGCAAACTTAATGTATATTTTTTTCTAGGCTTGTTTGTCTTTCTTAGCTCTCCGTACTGACAGAACGTGTTCAACAGACGACGACGCGTGCATTGTGTAATTTATTGTTACCCTGCGGTGAAAAATATGTTCTCTGTTTAAGTTTTTGTTTTTATATCCGTCTTGACTCTCCCCTGACTGTTAAGCCCCTGACTGTTAAGCATTTTGCCTGATCCGTTGGTCACTCCTGGCCACTATTCTCTTCAAACCATGACGATCTATTTGTGTTTTGCTACAGTTCATTTGCTTATGGTGTGCATCTAGCTTGTCATTCACCAGTTTGCCTCAAAGTGCTACAGAATCAGCCAAACATACTCAAGTTACTGACTCTAAATTGGTAAACAATTTGAGTTTTTGTGTATGTGTGCAGTACTCTTGTTCGGAAGTGAAGTGAGTTATATTTATTTACGTCTCTATTTCAGTGCCAGGCAACCGACTATGCATTTATTGATAGCTTCATACATGTTATGGTTTTCTCAAATTCATGTGCCCAGAATGAATCTTAAATTAATCCAGTCTGCCTTAATTATTATTGTAACTCGTATAGAACTGTTTGCTGGTTAACATGCTCCACGCAGAGTGGTTAGCCTCGCTTTAAAGATTTCTTGTAGTTAGCATCCTTTAAATTTGTTTTTCCATACAGACACGCGGCTGTGTTTGGAAATAAAGTGGCATACAGGTTGGCTTATTAACTTCAAGCAATAATTGCTCGCATAGAATGACATCTGTCTGGGATTAAAGTTCCTTCTAACCCATAGTAATATTTATATATATCGTGGCTGAAAACTTAGATCCTATTAGTCAAGAGATGACAAACTAGTCCAATCTTTGTGAAATCGAAACTTCACTTATTTAGTGGCCGCCACAGTAACTATGACACTTGGCTACCAGGGTGTTGTCATCTGTCTCCTTCCAGGTGGGGATATATTTACTGACCTAGGCTCCAACTATTCTAAGATAGTTCCAAGCCCATCTGAAAAAGGATGGGTCTGGCTGAACCTGAGTACTTCATGTGTCTTTGGAAGTAGTGGGTAAAACTATGAGTCAACCAGACGGCAAGCATGCAGGCTGCAAAACGGCAACTCCTCCCCCATGAACAGACACAACAAGCCGATCCATTATTTGGTGAAACATATGAATATAAGGAAGTTAGAGAATGTTTGGCTATCTCATCAGAATGGAAATAAATCAGCCAGCAGCCAGAGCATACTACAAGCAGGCAACAGGTCTAGAAGCTGACCAAAACAGGGAAGAGTGGAAT